AGGCCAAGACTGACGAAATGATGGTGCCCCAGCTCACGCAGCTACTGTGTGCTGGAGCTGGGGACGAAAGCCAGGACTTTGAACTTCCTGCCCTGGGTTCCTCTGCCTGCAGAGGGACAGGGTGTAACACGGAATATGCTCCAGAGAACGAGAGCACAGATGAGCCCCCGAAAAGCCCGAAGGGTCAGAGCCCTGACCTTGCCTGCAGCCCCCAGGGAAGTGCTCAATGCATGCTCGCTGGCTGACCCTGGCTCTTGGACTCAGGGAATCTAACCTCTGGCTCCTGCCCTGAGTCACAGTGTGGACAGGACAGGAAGAATGGAGGGTGGGTGACCCCTCAGTTTTCTTCTGAAAAACAGGAACCTCTCTTACCTTGAACGATTATCATGAGGGTTAATGAGAGACTGTGGGCAAAAGCACAAGACAAGTGTTAGATAAGTAGGGCTTCCAGACAGGTAAGAAAAGCACTCCATGGAGACGGAAAGAACTTGAAGGCATCTCTTCTGCATGGCAGCTAAGTCCTCGGACTTGGGAGTCCTAGCGGCCTGGCTCCCTCTGACCCCCTGCTCGACCTCAGTCCTGTGATCTTGGAGCCTCAGTCTCCTCATCTGCAAAATGGGGCTGCTAATAATCGTTCCTGTCTCATAGTGTTATTAAGTGGATTCAGTAAGAGGCAGCTCAGAAAGCGCAAGCACGGTGCAGGCACACAGCAGTGGTCCAGACACGGAGGCTGCTGTCACTACTGCCACTATCACTGTCAAGCCCGTGTCTTAGCCTGATTCAGGCCTCAGGAATTGCTGCTGAACTGAAGTGACTACAGGTGGCTCCTGAATGCAGAAATGCTCCTGCCCCTTCCGTCTGGGCCTCCGTGGCCTGATGGGAAAACAGCGCTGACACACCTGCAGAAGCCATCAGGGTGCCTGCAAAGAAGCAGACTTACTAGGAGAAATAAATAAGGTGGGAAGGAGCCCCAGAGCTGGTGATGACAGGGGAAGGAAAACGAGCCTGTTTTCTATGGGCCATTAAACGTGATGAAAGGAGCTGGCTTTTGTGGAGGCTCCTGGGAGATGACACGTAGCAGTCACTCCATCAACCCAAGCTGAGGCTCCTGCTTTGGCTGCAGCCAGACTTCCTCAGAGGACACCTCCACCTTCTGCTGTCTGAAGTTCACCTCTGAGACCCCATCAGTCTCGTCTACCTCCCTTCCTCCCTCCCAACCTAACCTAGTCCCCCACAGGGCCAACTCAAGAGCCAGACCGCCTGGGGTTTGCCCTTTAACCCTGCCACCAACACAATGTCACTTACCCTCTCTGTGCCTCGGTTTCTTCATCTATAAAATGGGGATAATTATAGCACTCACCTATAGGGCTAGTATAAAGGTAACAAGCTCCTCTTGGAAAAAGCACTCACAACAGCTGGCCACTAGCTAATTGCTGGGTTGGTGTTTGCTGAATTATTATTTTTTCTAATTTAAACCTCTCTAGTTCCTCTCCTCTGAGTCTCCTGTCCTGATCCCTGGGCACTGGGCTTCTCCCAGAGGTTACCACCAAACATCATCAAATCTCAGGGCTCATTTTCAGAAAAGGAAACTTGGGCCTGGAGAACCCAAGGGACCATGGTGGCACAGCCTGTCTTCAACCTGAACTCACACCTGCCCCCACACCGTGGCTATAGCAGCTGATCTGCCCGCTCCTACCTTCCACTGCCCTGCCTTTGTCTGTCTCAATGCCTCTCCTTAGAATGCCCTTTCTCTGGCCTTTCTCAACCCATCTTTCAAATTGTTTAAATGGCACTTCTTCTCAGAAGACCTTCCACCCCCAGGGCAAAATCAATCTTCTTCCGCTACACTTGGGCATAATTCAGTTTGACAACACAATGGCTGAATGTGTCCTCCTGGCACCTCCACTGGGGCCTGGGACACACAGGGTGAGTCAGACCCAGTTCCTGTCCTTGGGAAGCTCAGGTTAATCATCCATAACTTTCTCCTTTCCAAGCTGTAAGCTCCTCTGAGGCATTGAGCTGGGCCCTGGCAGGCACTCGGGCAGTGAACTTAATCTCCGTGCTCCCACCACCGTTGTGCCTGCTCCAGTCATGCTTTCCGAAATCTCCTGAGGGTACCTGTACTGGGCCAGCCCGTGAGGCCGTGGGACACAGAGCTAGTTCAGTGAAACTCCCCGGCCTGGCGGAGCCTGCTGACCTTTTTAGCTTAAGGCTCCACCCCTGGAGCATCTGCCAATTCAGACCATCTTGGTCTCTGTTCTTGTCCACATACTTGGGGTGGAGGTGATCCGATTCTGACACCAGGTAGCACACTCAACAGTCACACAGAACTGACTTCAAATCCAGCTGGGTGACTTTGGGCCAGCCACATAAACCCTGTGTTCTTCAGTTTCTTCATCTGTGAAATGGAGACAATAATGCCTATCCCTTATGGAG